AATGAACATTTGTATACCTAACCCTGAATTGTACCCCATATATTTAAAATTAAAAATTAAAAAAAGCCAGGCTTGGTGGCTCAGCCTGTAATCCCAGCACTTTGGAAGGCCGAGGTGAGTGGATTGCCTGAGCCTGTGGGTTCGAGACCGGCCTGGGCAACTTGGAGAGACCTCATCTCTACAATAAATAAAAAAATGAGCCAGGCGTGGTAGCGCGCGCCTGTAGTTCCAGTTACTTGGAAGGCTGAGGCGGAAGGATCGCCGGAGCCCAGCGGGTCGAGGCTGCGGTGGCCAGGAGCGGCCACTGCACTCCAGTCTGGGTGACAGAGTGAGACTCCAACTCAAAATAAATAAATAAATAAATAAATAAATAATTAAAAAAGGGGGGCCGGTCTTGGTGGCTCAGCATGTAATCTCAGCACTTTGGGAGTCCGAGGCAAGTGGATTGCCTGAGCCTGTGGGTTTGAGACCATCCCGGGTCACTTGACAAGACCTCATCTCTACAATAAATAAAAAATTAGCCTATAGTCCCGGCCACTTGGAAGGTTGAGGCAGAAGGATCGCCGGAACCCAGCAAGTTGACACTGGCGTGGCCAGGAGCATGCTACTGCACTCCAGCCTGTCACTGCACTCCAGGCAACAGAGTGAGATTCCAATTCAAAAAAAAAAAAAAGAAGTGAGGGGTGAGCCATGAGCCATGCAGTCACCTGGGGAAGAGGAAATGGCTAGTGCAAAGGCCCTGGGGCCAGAGCATGCCTACTGTGTTCTAGAAAATTGCAAGGAAGCCAGTGTGGCTGGAGTAGAGTGAGTGAGGAGACAGGGGTGAGAAGGGTGGCCAGAGAGATGAGGTCATTTCCTCTGACTCATTCGAGTTGGAGGGTTGAGAAGAGTGACTTTGGTTTTCAGTTTTAAGAGAACCGCGCTGACTGCCTTGTGAGCATAGACCAGTGGGGGTAGCAGCAGAAGCAGGTGGCCAGTCAGGAGGCTGTTCCAGGAGGCCAGGATAAGGGAAGAGGGGCTTGGGCTAGGCGGGGAGGAAGTTGCCGGATTTGGCAAACTTTGAATGTAGAGCAGATTTACAGCAGGATTATCATAATTAGCAGAAACTGGAAACCCAAAGTCCCTCAGCTGCTGGGTGGATAAACAAGCTGTGGTCCCGCTACACAGTAGGGATGAAATCCTTTCTCTCTTCAGACCTTCCTACTCCATCCATGAAGTTCCTAGAACACTAGGAGTTTGCTCAGTGCAAAGGGCTCACTCCTACGAGACCTGGAAAATCCCACCATTCCATCCACTCGGTTCCGTTGCTTTGGTCAACAACCAGTGATGTGCCCTAGGGTATGCTATAGCTTGAATTAGAGAATGAGAGAAAGAGGAATCAGGGAGGATTCCCTGTGTATGCATGCATTTGTTTTGTTTTGTTTTGTTTTGTTTTTTGAGTCAGAGTCTCACTCTGTCACCCAGGCTGGAATGCAGGCACGCTTATGGCCACCTCAGCCTCGACCTGCTGGGCTCAGGCGATCCTGCCACCTCAGCCTTCCAAGTAGCTGGAATCACAGGCGTGTGCCACCACGCCTGGCTAACTTTTTTGTTTATTGTAGAGATGAGGTCTCACCATGTTGCCCAGGCTGGTCTCGAATCCCCGGGCTCAGGCAGTCCTCTTGCCTCTGCCTCCCAGTGAACAAATATTTTAGAGCTGCCCTGCCAACAAAGGACATCAAAACAAAATTGGCTTGCTTTCTTAAACACCAGTCACCTCCGTGATCATTTCTGGTTGGAGACATTTTGTAGCAGAGTCATGTTATCTTTTTCCAGCTCAGATTGGACCTGGTAGTTTTCTTGACTTCGTTTAGAATGAATATCTTCTGAGTCAGCTACAAAGATGTTCACATACCGACCAAGACCAGCAACACAGCGTCTGGCCACATGCCCACTTGTGACAGGGACTTCAGCATTCAGGCAGGCTGGGACAGGGCCCAGGCAGAGGTGGAGGGTCAGGGCTGGATCCAGGAGACCAGGGTCTGGCTGCCCATGAGTGGATATGGGGAACAGAGTATCAGCCTGGGGCCCTGAGCTGGCAGGAAGGCAGAGGGAACCCCCCCACTCACCACCTGGGACCAGGCTCTCACCCCCACCCCCTGTGGAAACAGGCAGGTTGACTCAGCCCTGATGCCCACAGAGCCTGGGACCTGCCATCTCATTGTTTTGCTCCTTCCGCAGGGGGCAGTTTTTAGAATCAACCAAGTGTCACCATGAATCAGCTCGAATCAGCACTTGGGGGTGGGGGTGAGGAGCTGTCGGCCAAACCCTGCAGACAGAGGGCTCTGAGGGGCCCACTGCACTGGCTCCCCCTGAGGATGGCTCACTTGGGCCCCTCCCCTCCAAGCCACTCCCCTCCCCCCAGCTCTCCCAGCCTGAGGCCGGAGGCCTGTGGTAGGGAGAGGGGAAGCCGGGACTTGGCCTGGAGTGGGGCAGGTGATCCCCACTCCATATGGGCGGCCTTTTCTGGCCAACCCAATTTGAGAAATCCAGTGGGCACTCTGGGGGCCCCAAGCCCCGCCCTCCTTGAGGCCACAGACTTGGGTCTCCCAGACCACTACACCCCCTGCCGCTTCTCCACCCCCGCGCTGGTGAGAAGGGTATGGAAGGGAGAGCAAGTTCGAGGCTGCTGAAGCCTGGGTGGAAACCAGGCATCGGCTAGAGACCCAGGCAGACAGGACGCCAGGGTCCCTGAGGCCAACATCAAGCTCATACTCCACAGCCCCCTCTTTCACATCCGCCGACCCTCGCATCTCAATGTCCCCGAAGATGGGATAAAACAGGCGCTGTAGAATAAATAATTTATTGAAACTGGAGGAATAAATATGTGGTTAGGTCTACAAATAACCGTAAAAATCAACATTTATATACACAAAGGGGCGGGGTCTGAAGCCATGGAGGAGGGGAGGTGGGGCCGGAGCCAGGGCCAGGGTGTCTCCCCGCCCCGCACCCCCAAGCCACGCGGCACCCCCAGAGGCAGATGGCTTATCTACAGCGGAGGACCGGCTCCCGGCAGGCTCTCCCTGAGCCAGACCCCTGCCGCCCTAGGAGGGTGCTGCGCCTCCAGAGCCTGGGTTGGGCGCCCTGCTGGGCCCCCTCCCACCCGTGTGCCCGCGGAGCTGCACCCCTTGCACGATTCGCTCCACCCAGGCGCGGTGTGCGGCGAGGCTGATGTAGACGCCGGGCCGGTTGCGCTCCGCACAGCCCTCGCCCCAGCTGATGATGCCAGCCAGCAGCCAGGCGCCGTCCACCTGGCACATCAGGGGGCCTCCGGAGTCGCCCTGCCGGAGAGGAGGCAAAGTTAGGGACTCCATAGAGCAGTGGGGGGCAGAGCCCGGGACCTGTGCCACTTTGGTGGGCAGAAGGTTCGCTTCCCGGGAGTTCATGTCTCCTCCCTGGAGGTGGCAGGGCTCAGCAGAGGGCAGTCCAGGGAGGATGCACCTTGCAGACCCACTTCTAGTGCTGCTTGTGCCGGCCTTCTCCCTTACGGCCCTGGCCAGGGGGACTGTGGTTTCTGTTTTAGAGATGAGAACATGGAGGCTTGGAAAGAAGGGACCACCTGCCCAAGCTGGCACCCAAGGGATGCAGAGCAGGAACTGCAACCAGGCTTCAGGTGTCCAGGCTGGGGTGTTAACCACCGCACCAACCCGCCGGCCTCCACAACAATCACCAAGTAGGAGCTGGCTCTGAAGACTAAGCTGTGGGACGTCCCCTCAAGAAAATGCAAGCTCCAGGAGTGAGGTGGGCAGCTGGGATGCTCGGTGTATATCTGATATCTGAACAAGTGAGTGGCCGAGCCCAGTTGGTTCTCTAAGGACTAAGGTTCTCTAAGGGGGGAACCTGTCAGTCACAGCCAATTCTGGGGAGGAGACTGGGAAAAGCCGGGGAGCTCAAGCAGGGGCAGGGCTGACACTAGTTCTTTCTCAAGGCCCTCCCAGCCAGGGACGGAGCGGGTGCTCACTAGACAGGCATCGCGCTTCCCCTCCAGGTAGCCGGCACACAGCATGTCCTCGGTGATGGCGCCCTGCCCGGCACCCCGCCAGTACAGGTGGCTGCAGACTTCCGAGTCAATGATGGGAACTTTCAGCTTCTGTAGGGTCTGGGGGTGAGGCAGGGGCACTGGGGGCAAGGAGGACAGAGTCAGACTTGGGGGGATCACCCCTCCCACTTGCCTCCTCAAGCAACTGTTCCCCCAGATGCCTTCAGAAACCCGAGTCCCTAGTTCCACCTCAGGACCTGCTGGGCCGGACCAGAACGTGAATGTGGAGCCTGGGATTCTGCCTCTGATGAGCATGCTCATGCCCACAGATGGCCATTGGAGCCAGGGGTGCAGGCCTTTTCCATCTTGGGCACAGCATTACTGAATCCAGCACAGTGACTGTCACAGAACACATATCTAACACGTATCCACTTGATGCTGATCTAACAGCTTAGTCCACTTGATGCACCTGAGGGATCCTCACACCTGCCTGGGCTGGTCTTAGACCCTCTACAGTCCACAGTTCCAGCTCTCACAGAAGCCTCTGCCAAGACTATTGGGACCTCAGAGTAGGGGATTTCTTCAATTCTTCTGGAATCTGGCTAAAGTTCCATTTTTCTTACATTTTGTCCTTACTTAGTCACTGTCTCTGTCAAGTCTCTCTCTTCCAGGTCTCTACTAGGCCACTTTCGTCCTTCCCTTCTGCCTGTATGTTTCTTTTTCTTGGCCCAGTCTCTGTCCATCATCCATCTGTCCATTGTCTATCTTCCTCTCGTTGCTTTTCTGTGCCTTGCTTTATTTAATCTGGTTTGTGTGTCCAGATGATGTTTTCCAAATCTCCAGAGGGGCTTTGAAAATATATTTTACAATTATGGAGACTACATTTTGTCCGGGGAATTTTGCCTGCAATTATAGCATGCTGCCACTAGGGGTGCCTGTTCCCACTTTGGAATCTTAGCCTCTCCTTTTTTTTTTTTTTTGAGAAAGTAGGATTTATTAAGAGGACAGAAAAGCTTCCACAGTGGGAGGGGACCCGACGGGGTTGCCCTAGCCTCTTTTCGTATTCACCCCACACATGCCTCCATCCATCCAGTCATTCCTATATCAATGAATAGCTGTTGTTGCCTTGAAACAGCCAACGGCATCTTTGAACTAGAAATGACCTGAAATTCTCCACCGAGGTTTCTATGACATCTACAGGTCACAGCTCATCTCTTCTTCTGTCTCTGTCATGCTGAGCCTCTGACCTCTGCCCTCCATTGCCCACGGCCTCTGTGTCTCTGAGTATACACCGCCCTCTGTCCCCCCACCACCCAACTGCCTTGGAGGGGGAGAAGACGCACCTCCTTCATGGATGCTTCCCCAGCCCGTGATCCAGCAGTCAGTGTTCGGGGGGAGATGGACAGAGGCATCAGGCAGGCAGATGGGCAGGATTCGCTCCGAGAACTGGATGGAGTGCTCGAGGCGCACCAGGGCGATGTCCGCACGGGCACCCTCCTTCCAGGAGTACACAGGGTGAGGCAGCACCCAGGCAACACCCACCTTCTGGGACCGAAGGCCTGGGTTTCCCAGCTGCCAGGCCCCCAATAGCACAGAGAACAGGGACGGCTTGTTCAGATTGCTGAAAGGAAAGGGACAGGGGCATCAGCCAGGAGAGGTCTAGGGAAGGGCGAGGACATGAAGGCCTCTGAGGGCGAGAGAGGCTTCCAGGCAGAATTAGGGTCTCTACTGAGGGATGCCAAGGTTGGACAGAGCCCAGGGTCTGGGGCAGAAGCCTGGGTCCTGGAGGACTGCGTGGATCAGACTGGTTCTACGTACTCCTTGAAGCAGTGGGCAGCAGTGACCACCCAGCGGCTGGTGAGCAGGGAGCCTGCGCACTGGTGGGTCCCGTTCTTCTGGATGCTTACAACCCAGGGCCACTCAGCGTCGGCACTGCCCTGGCCGCCCACGATCCGGTTCAGTTGCTGGGGCTTCCCACAGGCGGGGGGAGCTAGCAGGGAGGGTAAAGTTTCTGTCATCTCCCACTGCCTGTTGCCCAGCCTCCCAATCCACAGACCTGCTCCCAGGTTCTGCCCACACCAAACTCTGCCCACACACAAGCTCCACCCACACCTGAGCTCAGTCTACACACGTCCCGGTGCTTTCCCTCTTTGAACCCTGCCTTTTTTTTTTTTTTTTTTTTGAGTTGGAGTCTCACTCGGTCGCCCAGACTGGAGTGCAGTGGCCGCTCCCGGCCACCGCAGCCTCAACCTGCTGGGCTCCAGCGATCCTTCCGCCTCAGCCTTCCGAGTAGCCGGAATTACAGGCATGCGCTACCACGCCCGGCTGATTTTTTGATTTATTGTAGAGATGAGGTCTCGCTGCCCAGGCGGGTCTCGAACCCGCGGGCTCAGGCAATTCACTCACCTCAGCCTCCCAAAGGCGTGGGATTACAGGCTGAGCCACCGAGCCCAGTTTGAACCCTGCTTTTTATTCCTTCCCATCTGTTCACCTGTTGCCCCCACCTCCTCTGTGCTTTAGAACCTCTCTGCCCTGTCTCTTCTGCTGCCATCTCCCTCCCGACGCCCTTCCTTCCCAGCCCCTTTCTGGCCTGTCCCCATCCTGCCCTTCAAATGTCCTTCCCTCCTGTTTCCCCGTGTGCCCTAGGCCAGCCAGCTGCTACTCACCGGGTATCTTGGCAGCATCAAGGGAGGCTGAGGACAAGAGAAGAAAAGGGTCAGGCCAGTGCTGAGGAGGATCCCCAAGCACCTAGTGGTCAGAGCCCCAAGCACCTGAGGAGACTCTCAGTATCTGGTGCCATGGGGGCGCCCCCCCCCCCCCCCCCCCGGCCCTTCCAAGGCTCCGGGCGGAGCATTTCCTGGGGTTAGGGGCATTGAAACGTGTGTCCTGGCTGTGCCTTTGCCCTGCCCGCCCACTAGCTTCCTGCTCATACGCCTGGGGTTGTTTGCCTCCAGGACAAGGACCAGTTTCCACCGAGGACGGAGGCTCAGGAGGCACAGGCCGAAGTCCCCTCGGGTCTGGACTCCTGTTTGGCACCGTCCCCGAGCCCTGCCGCCCCAGGAACAAAATCTGCTGCCCGAGATGTGAGTATGGAGGAGGAAAGGGAGGCCGAGGAGAAGACTGTGATGACAGGATACTAGCCACCTGCTACATGCCCAGACTCACCTGTATTTTTTCATTTAATCCTCACAGCTGTAGAGGAAACTGAGGCACAGAGCAGTGAGCGCAGGCACGCAGAGATTCAAGAACAGGAGATGTGAGAGGAAGGGGAGACTGGATTCCAGGCAGCCCGGAGGGAAGTGGCTGGGCCAGGAGAGGAGGCGATCCAGGAGGCAGGAGGAGGGAGGAGAGGAGGGAGGAGGGAGGAGGGAGGAGGGAGGAGCCCGGGCCTCAGGTCTCACCTGTGGATGCCAGAAGCAGCAGGGAGGTTAAGATCTGGAACCGGCCTCCACCCAGGGCTGGGGGGGTTCTGGAAGCCACCATGGCTGGTGGGGGTGCGGCAGTCTCAGAGGGTTGTGCTGGCCGGGACAGGTGGGGTGGTGACCTGAGTGCGCAGGGTGTATAGGGTTCCCTGCAGGTCGCCTCAGGTTTTATCCTGGGAGGTGGAATGCCGTCAGACCAGTCCCCCAAGTTGCTCAGTCAGGCCACCTGGGCTGCAGGCCATGGGCAGGGCAGGGCAGAGCTGGGGGTGGGGGAGTGGCCGTTACCTCTAGCCAAGACCCCAGCCTTGGGCCTGGCCAGGTGGGCTTGGAGCTCAGGGCCAACTCTGCTGTGGGTCCAGGGTGTGCTGTGGGTCCAGGGCAGGGGACTGGGGTCCAGCAGTCACGGACATGACTGTCCAGGGAGCAGAGAAAGGAATGGAGTTTGGGCTGGGGAGGGCTGGGTCTGGAGGGGCTGGAGTCTGGGGTCCAGGTGTTGGGGTCCCTGGGGGGCTGGCATAGGGGTTCCCAAGGCTCAGTAACGGCGCTGGCCTCCAAGGGCCTGGGCCGCTGTGACTCATCCCGGGGACCTGGCCCTCCCGGGCAGTGGGCAGTGGCAGCCCGTTAACCCTCTTCCCGGAAAGCTGTGAATCAGGCCCGAGTGGCCTCCTGGTGGCCGCAAGGTCCCTGAGGCCACCCTCCTGGTGTCCCCGGGGTGGGGCTCGGCCCTGTCACTTGAACACTCAGATGTGTCACCTCTCACCTGGACTCCCAGGAAGGGGAGGAGCCTGCAGGTGCCTGGGGCCCACCAACCCTGTGCCTGTGGCTATCTCTGCAGGGTCAGCTGGGGGAACCCCTGGGAAGGGCTGGAATCCCAGGGTGCAAAGGACAGCTGGGTGGGGCTATGCAGGATGGGAACTGGGGCAGGCTGGAGACACCTTCACCCAGGTGGCGGCAGCCTGGGTCACGTCCTGTGGGGTCTTCCCTGCTCAGCCCCCATAGCGCCCCACACTTGTGACACCCCGCCCCAGACAGGTGCCTTTGTGGGTGCACGAATTTAGTCAACGACCTCCAGCGGGGCCTCACTCTGACTGAGAGGTCCATAAAACAGCCACAGCTGCAAACACGCGGTGCTCATTGCACTCTCGTGGTTCCTTATTTTTCCCATCTGCAGACAAGGAAACTGAGGCAGCCCGGGGAGGTTGGTTTGCCCAAGGCCCCCCAACTGGTGGATGAGTGGTAGATTCTGGAGTTGGCTGCTGGGACTGGACTCGGGGGCTCAGTCCAGGGGGCAGGTCATTATCAGACAGGGTCCTAGGTGCCGGGGTGGGGGCTTTGGGGACCCAGGAGTTGCCTGACCCCTATGGGCCAGCAGAGGCTACCCGGAAAAGGGGGCTGTTACCACTGAGGCCTGGAGCTGACCCTACAGAGGTGGGGCATAGAGACAGTGACAGTGGTCTAGGCGGTGGGGAGATGGGCACAGAGGCTGGGTGGCCAGGGGTGATGGGGGAACCCGACCTCGAGCCCTCCCAGGTCAGGATGGTGCAGGTGAGAGGCCCTGAGCAGGTGCCACAGCTCAGGTCAGGGCATGGATTGCCCCCAGAGCTCGCCCTGGGACGGCCTCCGGGCTGCCCACCTTCTGTCTGTTAGGGTTGGAGCCAGCAGGACCGTTATCACCATTGCTGCGTTGTGCCGGGCCCTGCTCTGGTGGAGAGGGTAGGAAGCAGCTAGGGGGAGTGCAGGTGAGACCCCTTCTCCTGCTGCAGCCCCCCCATCCCAACCAAAGTCAGGCCAGGGATCCAGGCCATGGGAGCCCCTGGTGAGGCATTATTCTCTGTCCCAGGACTCAGGCGGCAGGAAAAGTCCACACAGAATGGCTGAGGTGGGGGCAGTTTCTCTGGACCACCACAGCGAGCAGAAGCGTTGGCTGCTCCTGCCCCCACCCAGCTCACTGTCCTGAGCCCAGCTTGCAACACAAACATTTATTGAGCACCTGCTGTATGCCAGGCCCTGTGCTGGTCACTGGGACACACGTGATGAATAAGACAGGTTCTGTGCTTGGGAAGCATGTGTCTTCTGGGGGTGGAAAGCAGGTGACTGGGTGAGGTGTCCTGGAGGTGGGCACAGGGTCACAGGACTGGGTGGTAGCTGGAACCCTGGAGGGCCACTGTGAAACCGAGTGTCATGTGCTTGACTCCTTGAGACGAGGGACATTGTGGGCAGGGAGGCTCCCTGTGGCTCCTCAGGACCCTGACATCTCTGGACACTGATCCTCAGGACACTAGGTCTCAGTGGGCGTTTGTTAAATGAATAAATGATCGTGGAAGAGGGCAGCCTGGAGGCAGCTGGGGACTGATGACTGCAGCCTCTTCCTACTCTTTACCCTCTCAAGTTTCCTCTCCGTTCTAGCCTTTTCCACCTTTCCTAGACCTGGCCCGCTGCCCTGGGGACCTAAGGGCAGGCACGTGCCCTACCTGAGAGGAGTGCCCAGGAAGAGGGCGCCAGGAGTCAGGGGAAGTCCTGAGAAGCCAGGTGAAGGCTTCCTGGCATAAGGCCTGGGGACGGGCCCCAGAGACCGGTTCCCCAGTTCCCAGGGTGTGGAGGGTGCAGCCTCTGAAGGACCTGGGGGCGGGGACCCTGGTGTGATTCAACATTCACTCAACAAAATATTTATTGAGCGCCTACCCTATGCCAGCCCCACGCCAGGCATGCTGGCCAGGCCTCCCTCTGCTGTGCAAGAGTTGGACAAGCTGCCCACCCCTGCTGCTCACTCACACGTGCCTGTCAGCCTGGTTGCGAGACCCCTGATGGATCTGCAGCCAGGCAGTCATGACTGATGGGCATTTCCATGTTAACAAGGCCGTAGCTGGCAGCACGTGAGCCAGGTATGACTCACCCGTGGTGGCCCAGGCGTCCGGGAGGTAACTTGGGACAGGGGCATTTTTCATTATCCCACTGAAGGCTTCCAGCACACCCACTATGAGCCAGCGATGGGGCAAAGCCTGGAGCGTTGAGGAGATAAGACACTCTCCCTGCCCCCATTAACCAACGAGCAATTATGGAGTGCCAGACACTGCCCTGGGCTCTGGAGATACAGCAGGGAGCAAGCCAAAAGCAACCCCTGCCCCGTGACATGGGCATCGGGGGAAGCAGAATTTAAAACTCAGTAAACTATTTCGTTCTGTGGAAAGCAGGAGGAAGGTTCCTCTGCCATCAGTCCTGCAGTCCACCACCGGGGACCAGAAGTCATTATATCAAAAAGACATCCACATGCGCCTGTCACTGCAGCACAACTCACAACTGCAAAGTCACGGAACTGACCCGTGTCCCTCGTTGGAGGCCAGGATAAGGAAGACCCACTTAGCTGCACCATGGGACAGCTACAAACAGAGAAGGAAATCGTGTTTTGCAGCAATGTGGATGGAAGTGAAGGCAGAATCAAAGTCAAATACTGCATGTTCTCACTCCTGAGTGGGAGCCCAACCACGTGTCCACACAGATGCAGGGAGGGCATGACAGACACTGGGGACTCTGCACCGTGGGGGTGGGGGTTGCCTCCTGCTGGGTACGAAGCAGGAGGCCCCGTTTGGCTGGTGGGTTCGCCACGAGCCCGGCCTGCACCACGACACAGTATATCCACATAACCAAGCTGCACTTGTCCTCCCCCCGAATCCATAAAAGTAAAGCTGAGAAGGTCATTCAGTCCAATCGCGGATGCGGTCGGGAGAACTAAAGCAGGGAGGAGTGGGGAGGTGGAGCGGACAAGTGTGGAGGTCGAGGCCATTTTTCCTGACGAGGGGGTAGGTGGCGGAGACTCAGGGTGGGCAGAGCCACACCCCGCGCCTGTGGGGGACGGTTCCAGCTCCAGGAACAGCAAAGGCCAAGGTGGTTGAGTGTGGGGAGTTGGTCAGACGTGGGCTTTGGCTTTCCCGAGAGGCCCGGGGCCCCCTGGCTCCAGTCTTTTGTATTTCAGCAGGATCCCCCAGTTACTGTGTGAAGACCCAGATGCGAGGCGCTCAAGGATGAGGCGGGACCCCAGTCAGGCCCAGGCGAGAGGTGATGGGGTGGTGATGAGAGGCAGGTTCTAGATCCTTCTGTAAGGCCGAACGGACAGGACAGAGGGCCGCGGCCGTGGGGCCAGGCTGCGGTCAAGCAGGTCGGGCAGATTGGGAGTCACTGGGGGTCTGGGGGAGGTGGAAGTCAGGGTAAGAGGATCAGGAGTGACCGGGGCCCTGGGGTGAGGTGGAGGTCAGGCTGGAGGGAAAGCTGGAATCTGGAGCAGGAGGATTTCAGAGCTGCTGAGATGACTGTGAGTAGGTGATGACGTGGCGTGGATGGCCAGTGCCCCATCCCCTCCCCACCCACCTGCACCTCAGAGACTCAGCCCCGTGTGCTAGGACCAGAACCAGGACAAGGCGAGGTGTGGGCAGCAGGGGGGCTGCCCGGCCCAGGGACTGACCATGACTCTGGGCACAGGGACAGGGCACTCAGACTGAGGCCACCCGACCACAGGGTCCTCCTGGGCCCTGTAAAGGGGCACCTGCTTAAAGGCGGGGGAAGGCGCCTAGAGTTGTGTGGGGAAACCACCTGGATTTGAGGCTTGGAAGGGACTTGGGAGGCGGGTGGGGACACAGGTGGGGGGTCGTGTCCAGAAAGACACTGGAGCAGGGCCTCCTAGGGTCATGGAGATGGAGTGAGGCGGGCGGCAGGCGCCAGGGAGCGAGGTGGGAGGTGACCAACTGCCCCAGTGTGCCCAGGGCCTTCCCAGGACTTTCTTGGACCACTGGTTCCCTCAGCAGTGTCCCCATCCATGGTGACAGGGACAGGTTGGCAGGGTGTTTCAGGCCCAAGGGTGCCATGGTTGGAAATTTGTGGGAGCTCAGGGTGCCCTGGTGTCTAAGTGGGGCCTAAAGGAGGCAGGTCTTCAGTGTCTCTCTCATCCCCTGAGAGAAGCCATCACGGGGAGCCGTGCAGGTGAAGTGGCCCCACAGGGAGAGGTGACCATGGGGAACTGCTCTGTTTTCTGAGGTTTAGATTCCCATGAACCTCTGACCTTGGCTTGAAGGTTG